TCTTATCATTTTATTTTCTGGCGATAAACTCCTCACAACCTGTAGTCAACTACGTCAAATTCCGATCACTCTTCATCAAGCTCGCCCTCACAGCAAGGCGCCAAAACATCCAAGTCACAGTGGTCAAAGGAAAAACTACCCGTCAGATCGACTGGTGTTGACCAGTTCACTTTCAAACATTTTATTCAAGTGAATCGAACTGGTTGATAAACATGTACTCGACAAAAGTACCAGTCTGATGGGTCGGTGTTGACTAGTACACTTGAAAACATTTTATTCAAGTGAACTGGACTGCAGGGGCGGATCCATAAAATTTAATTGGGGGGGCTAAAATTTACAGAAATATTATATTTTATTAAAAAACAAAGTCGCATTTCTAGAATAGAAAAAAAAATGTAGTTCAAGAAAATACATATCATTCAAACTTTGTGACTATAGAATTGTGTTCGACGTTCTCTCAAGTCACGAAAATCATCGATGATTGACTCTGTTGTAATAGATCTTGCAATTTTCCTTTCAACAAAGACAGTCAACGAACTTACAAGAAAGTCATCTTCCATTTTACTTCGAAGATTGGATTTGACAATAACCATAGTCGAAAATGCACGCTCTGTGGTCACCGTAGACACATGAAGAGTAAAAATCAACCTTATTAACCTATCAATCAACTGATAAATCAAAGACTTTCTACTTTTCGCCATCCATTGACACAAATCAGAGACTGTGCACAAATTTTGAAATTCTAAATGCTTGAGAATATCACTCTCATAATGTCGCAACTGAACTTGCAGTAAGTCTTTTTCATAATCTGTGAGTCTCTTGGATAAAAATCATTGACAAGAAGGCAAGCGTCATCTATATTAAAAGACGATCGAGAATTGCGAGGATCAAACATAGAGCTAAGAACAAGTAGCTTCACGGCATGCTCGCTAAATCTATTGTTTAGCTCTTGGAGTTGACTATCTATCGTAACTGTAAATATATTAACACAGTAATATTCACCGACTGTAAATAGATTTTGCTTATTCCGAGATCGTCCTCCTCATTCAATATATAAATCATTTACACCAGGAATATCTATCGCACGACTTTCACAAAAAAAACTTTACCTTGTTAAAGAGACTCTTGTATCCATCATCTCTCAGTTTTTGGATTAGACTCTTTGTAGTGCCAACAAGATGCATAACATTCAGAATATCTTGAGATTTTCGTTGGAGAGCTTGACAAAGCGTATTAGTTATTTTCATTATTTCTTCATAAGCTGCAAGATAAAGATGAACACGAAAGAGGTTAAAGAATGTAAGTCGAATCTGCATCGGATCGTTGGTCACAATCCTCATCAATGATGCACAACAAAACCGAGTAAGCTGCACTAAACATCTTCAACAAGCTAGAAAACGACCTTAAGTGCGAACCCCACCGAGTATCTCCTGCTCGTTGTAAACTGCCAATTTGATTTTGTTCAGACCCTTTTTCAAGCTCATCAATAGAAATCAATTAAGCAATATCAGAAGCTTGGGCCGCATCTGCTGGACTGGTCGATCACGGTCTAGTCCTGTTAGACTACTCGATCTAGTCCGATTTTGAAAAGAATGGGTAAATTTATATATTTCAGTTACAGTAAATTATAATATTGTTTCTTCGTGCATCCCACATGCCACAAACTAAAAAAAAAAATTTAACTTTGATGTCTGCAACATTATTTGGTCTTTATTCTAGAAACCCATTTTTTTTTAAAAAAAAAAAAAAACTTCAATTCAATTATCTTTATTAACTATAATAAATCTCAAGAGCATTGTCAAATGACTAAATATGTAATAGGAGTTTTATCAATATAAGGCTCGAAATATGGGTAAACTATCAATGCGGTGCTTGAAAGATTTTATTTTTTTTTTATTCGGGACCTAAATGTTATAAAACTATTAAATTAAAGATCCAAAAGGTGGGTAAACTATCAATGCGGGGCCTGAATGATTTTTTTTCACAATTCAGGACTTAAATGTTATAAAACTATCAAATTAAATCTATAATTAACAAAATTCATAACACCATTAAATATGGGGTTGAAATAAAAAAAAAAAAAACAAATGATTGGTGTTAAATTTTTAAAAAAATATGATATTTAATCATTAGAATTTATTTCATATTTAAAAATCATATTAATTATTTACTTAATATAATTACTTGCTTTATTCTTTTTAACAACAAACACAGATATTTATGAGGATAATAATATTATAAACACTCAAGAGTACGATTGGTTATAAATTATGTGAAAATGTTTGAATGAAAAAATGAGTTAAAGAGTAGAAAAATTGATGGAGGAATACAAAATTTTAAAAAATGTGAATGAATATGAAAATAAAATATAATAATTAAATATTATTTTTTTTGAACTCTAGATTTAATTGTGTTATGAGTTTTATTTTTTAATTCTAGACTTAATTTGATAGTTTTATAACATTTAAGTCCCGAATTGAGAAAAGTAATCTTTCAGGTCCCGTATTGATAGTTTACTCATCTTTCGGGTCTTTAATTTGATAATTTTATAACATTTAAGTCTCGAATTGAGAAAAAAAAAATTTAGGCCCCCACATTGATAGTTTACTCATGTTTTTAAAGTATTGATAAAACTCCTAGATGATATATGAATTAAACTCAAATAATAACATAACAACTAGATAATAATTTTAACAAATATTGTATTTGCTAGGCGTTCGAGTGTATCTTATCTAAATCACAAAGAAGATCCCAAATACAATCTTCAAGTCTTCTCACGTAGAAACCAATGAAATTTATAGGTTGAGAAGAAAACGACCAAACATTTGACTGAGCCGACAATACGACCTACACTACATCTGTAAACCTGAGAATGCTATTATTTTG